CTCCCTCATCTGTGCCTCACAAGACCACCCTCCTGTGCTTCCTTGCCTCCTGTAGCGTGGGATGCCACTGGTTTCCACCTGCTGAGGTCAGTCAGCCACAGGTGCTTCAAGTCTCATATGTATTGTTTGCTCTGAATGCTCTTATGAGTCTCTATCTTCCACGCTCTACATTTCCATTTTTATTTTGTAGGAACAGGGTCTCTATTGCTCAGGCTGGAGAGTAGTAGCATGATCATAACTCACGGCTGCCTCAAACTCCTGAGCTCAAACTATCTTCCTGCCTAAGCCTCCCAAAGTGCAGGGATTACAGGTGTGCGCCACCACACCTGGCCAATGTTTTTTTTTAGTCAGAGTGCAGTGGCATGCTCACAGCCACCCCAGAGTTGACCTACTAGGCTCAGGCAATCCTTCTACCTTAGCTTTCCAAATAGCCGAAACTACAGGTGCATGCTACCACACCTGGCTAATTTTTTTATACATTGTAGAGACAAGGTCTCACCAAGTTGCCCAGGTTGGTCTCAAACCCCCCCTTTTTTTTGAGTTGGAGTCTCACTCTTGTCGCCCAGGTTGGAGTGCAGTGGCACGCTCACGGCCACTGCAGCCTCTACCTGCTGGACTTAGGTGATCCTTTTGCCTCAGCCTTCCAAGTAGCTGGAACTACAGATGCACGCCACCATGTCTGGTTAGTTTTTTGTGATTTATTGTAGAGACGAGGTCTCACCAAGTTGCCCAGGCTGGTCTCGAACCTATAGGCTCAGGCAATCCTGTTGCCTCAGCCTCCCAAAGTACTGGGATTACAGGCTTGAGCCACTGTACCTGGCTGGCCAATTTTTAAAAAGTGTTTTTTGCAGAGATGGGGTCTTGCTATTTGGCCCAGGCTGGTCTTGAACTCCTGTCCTCAACGATCCCCCTGTCTCAGCCTCCCAAGCAGTGGGATTCCAGCGTGCACCACCATGCCCAGCCAGTGTTCCACATTTCTGAAGTAAACTTATTTATATTATCTTCCCTGGAAGATATTGGGTTTCCTCAGTCTTCTTTAGAGTTTTACTCCGTTTTAGAACACCCTCTCCCATCATATGTCAGCCTGCCCTTCCTATGCCCTCCACTCCAGCCGTCTCCCACTGATGGGCGGCCTGCTTTCTGTCCACCATCTGTCTGCCTTGCTGCCACGCTCTGGGTAATTTCTTCTGAAGTATCTTCCAGTTTGCTAATTCCCTTCAGCTGTTTTTCATCTGCTTTTGAATCAGCCTAACTTACTTTTTCCCCTAGTGCTGTTGGATTTTTCCAAACTTGCTGGGTCAGTTTTTGTGGTTTCCTGTTCCCTGCAGATACTCCAGGCTTATCTCCCTTCTCCAGCACAGAGAAGAGCCATTCTGCACTCAGCGTGCGAGGCCCCGTTCTCCAGCCTGGGTCCTCAGCAGCACCTCCCCGACCCTGTGCTGGTCACTGGATGTGAGAGGCTGTTGGTAGGAAGAGCTCTGAGTGGAGGACAAAGACACTGCAATGGGTTGATGGTGTCCCCACAAAATACATATCGACCCAGAGTCTTAGACTGGGGCCTTGTGTGGACTGAGGGCCTTTAAGGGGTAATTACCAGGAGATTCTCAAGACAATACTGTCTTGGACAGGGCAGGCCCTCAGCCAGTGAGGGGCGTCCTCACAAAAAACAGAAGACACAGGCAGAGAAGGTCACAGGAAGGAAGAGGAGGTGGGGGCCGCAGAGACATAGACACAGCTGCAGGCTTCCAGCCTTTGCCAGAGGCCAAAGGGGCAAAACCTGCAGGGACGTGCGGCCCTGCTGATGCTGGGTTTCAGACCCCTGGTCAGACCTAGGAAAGGATGATTCCTGTTGCTTCAAGCTACTCAGTTGGTGATGACTCACGGCCGCCCCAGGATGTTGGTGGATCTCAAAAAGGGTCTCTGTGCATGCCAGCCAGGGCCAGGGGCAACATTTAGGACAGACCCAGGCCTTCTGTGACTGAGGCATGGCCAGGCCCTAAATCATGCTGGGGACTCGGGCTTGCCATGCTCAGGACTGGCCATAGCCCGCTCAGGGTGCCTAAGGCTGTGTCTTGGGGTACCAGTCAGCTCAGAAAGGGTGTCCTCCAAGCACACTTGCTCACAGCAGGCCCTGGCTCCTGCCATGTTCCCTCTTGCTCTGAGGCCATCAGCACCTATTCTCCTCATGTAAGTGAGTTCCCATCATCCACTCACTTCCTCAGCTCTGACACTTGTGAAATTAAATGTAGATATACACATGCACAAATGCACATGCAGACACATGCATATACACATGTACAGACACACCCACATGCAGAGAGACACACCTATGCACACACGCATGCACACAAGTACAGACACACCCAGAGACACACACACTCACACATGCAAATATACATGTACACAGACACTCTCACACACACATGAAATACACATTTATATAGACACACACAAAGATACAAACACACATGTACATAAACACACCCATATACATGTAAACATATAATACATAGATACACTCATACAGAAACATACACATACAAAAGCATAAGCATACATACACATATGTACACAGACATACCCTTACAAATATACAGAGACATACACAAATACATACACAGACACACCCATACAGACACACATGTACACATATGTACACATGTGCAAACAGCCACACACACGTACACACATGTACACACGCACACCTATACAAACACATACACATATATACATATACACACTCATACAAATACACAGAGACATACAAACATGCACACAGATACACTCATACAACTACACAGACATACACATATATGTACCCAGACACACCTATACAGAGACATGCACATACACACATGTACACAGACAATCCATACAGATACGCAGAGATACACTCAAACACACACACACGCACACACATACACAGATACCCCATGCAAATACATACAGACACACATACAGGCACACATGTACACAGACACACATGTACACAAACATATTCATATAAATACATGTATACATACATACATATACACAGGCACACCCAAACACTCAGAGACACACATGCATACACACATATGCACAGACACACCATACACAAACATATGCATACACAGGCACACCCATACATAGATGCACATACACACATGTACACAGACACACCCATACAACATAGAGACACATACATGCACACATATATGCAGACACATCCATATAAACACACATGCAAACATGTACACAGATACACCCATACAACACACAGAGACATATACATGCACATGTACACAGGTATACCCAAACACCCCTTCACAAGGCACACACACATATGTACACACAGATACATAAAGGTCCAGCTTCAGTTGTTTCTAGCAAGTAGAGGATGTGTCTTGGGGGCCTGTTAATAGAAACAGGACATCTATACTGGCAAATGTCTTCTTGTCTTCATGCTGTTCTGAGCAACCCTGTGGGGATGCTTTTATTCCTACTACACAGGTAGGAAAAAGGCTCAGGGGCTTTATAATGTGGCCAGCACAGCCACAAGTAGGAGAGGGAGGGCAGGGACCAGCTCCTCAAACTTACAGCAGCCTGTAACTTGGTGCAACCCCCAACAAAGTCACAGCCAGGCACCCCTACCACCCCGCATCTGTTCATATTATGTCGCAGCCTTGATGGAAGACATTGAGCTGCAGGAGAGGACAACTCCACAACCACACGTGGGAGGGTCACCATGCTGCATGGCACACAGGCAGACAGCATTGGTTTCAGAGACAGTGGGGGCTGGTGGCCCATGTGAGTGGTGACTGGGCTGCCTCTCCGAGCCCCGGAGGTTGGCCGGGGGTCAGCACTAGCCCTGCAGCAGAGCCTACATGGAGAGAGCTGTATTTGGGGATGGCTGCCCTTTTCGGGCCAGGCCTCTCTTCACGCCCCAGCTGCTTGGGACCCAGGCCATGCTCTCTGAGGATCCAGCTACTCATACCCTTCAGTCCCTGACCCCAGGATGGCTACCATGCTACCCCATCCATAAGCCACAGCTCCCTCCCATTATAGCGAGGGCAGAGAGCACCCCTCAGAAGGACAGGTTCCTAGGTCTCCTCTCCCAGCCTCCCTTCTGCTAGTGGGCTTGGCCACCCCGATGGCCACCTTGCCCAGGAAGGCGCTCTCCCCAGCTGGGGTGGAGGGAGGAGACAGTTCAGAAGCCGCAGCGCCTGCCGGCGAGACCTCAGCCTGCCAGACAGCGTTTCATTTCTGTGTGAAACAATCAAAACAAACTCCAGCGCTGAGAATCTGGGCTGAGGTTAACCCTCCACCCTCCCCAAGGCTGTGCTGGCCCCCGGCCTCACACATCTACTGTGTCCCCCAGGGCTGCAATGCCACCCAGGCCCAAGTGTGCCCTCTATTGCAAGGCTAGTGCCAACACGTGCGGCAGGAGGGCAGGGGCAGCCCACGTGGACAGGGGTCTCAAAGCCTGGTACACCCCCTTCCCCATGCTGCTCCAGGGTGAGGCCAACCTAGCTCTCCCAGACCTGGGGCCGTCTGCTGAGTGCCCCTTTCTGGAGCAGGACACAGGAACCCATAGTGGCAGTGGTGGGTCTGTGGGCACCACAGTGGAGAATTGAGGCTGGACTCGGGATCCCCGGGGCAAGATGGGGTGTGGAAGTTTCCAGAGGCTCTGTGCTGGGTGACCACAGCCCCCCACGGACCTCCCAGATGGCCAAAGACCCACATTGCTTGGCTGGCAGGAGGAGCAGGGACAGCCAGGGACCCTCTGGCGGCCACCCGCGTCATCTCGTGCGTAGTCTTCCTCTCCGGAGCTGGCTCTTCTCCATGGCTCCCCACCCACCCCACAGCAACCTCAGGGCTGGGCCTCCATCCCATGTGTCCGGGAGGGACGCGGCTCTGACGTCCTCAGCTCCAGGAGACTCCAGCAGTGTCTCCTCCCAGCCAGGCCTCCAGCCACTTCCCCAGCTCATCGACCTCAGGTATCGCTAAGAAAAACATACGCGGCCGCACTGGCCTCACTCCACCGCCCCGTCCGGCCACGGTCCCGGGGTGCCTTGGCTGCCAGCTGGACAGCAGGGCTTCCTCCTGTGGCAGCGGCGTGCAGCCAGCAGGACCACACGGGGGGGGCAGTGCTGGCTCTGGGGAGGGCCAGGCCCACAGGTCATGGAGCCAGGAGTGGCCCGGTGCCACCCAGCTTGAGGCACGACAAGGCTGTCCCCCACCACCTGCCTGGCTCTGCCCACTGATGTGTTCAAACATACACCCCTGAAGGAAATCAGCAGGTACCCCCGCCAGGCCACCTCTGGACACCTGGTCACTGTCCACACACAGGAAGGCAGGGCAGCCTGACAGCCCGGCCTCCACTGACCACATTCAGTTTCAGATGTAGACACAGCCCAGCTGGAGTCAGGGTCCCATAGGGTGGGGGCTGAACTGTTGGATGAACGAGTGACATGGACTCCCATGGAAAGCCGAGAGAGCCCCCATGTTCTTGGGTCCAAGAGAGCCTTGGGGGCTTGAGAGAGACCTCATGGGGGGCCCCTGTGGCCTGCTCCAGAGTTGAGTTGCCAAAAAAAGAATGGTACAACTGGACAGAAGAGACAGCAGCCTGGACAGACCCTGATGGGCAGGTGAGGTCCCTGGGAGCAAGAGGAATGCCTGGCAGAGGTCAACTTCCAGCTAGGAGGCACAGGGCCTGGGACCCTTGAGGTGCCCCCTCCAGGTTCCAGGGCTAGGCTGGGGCTGCAGTACACAGAGACTAGTGCCAGGAGCCTCCAGCCCCTCAGACAGCCGTTCCTTGTCCTCACCCCGGCACGGGTGGGCACCGTGGAGCCCCCCGCCACCCGTCCTGCACAATGTGCTGGCTTGTCCGGCGGCAGGATTAGGAGATGTGCACAGCCTGTCAACAGGTGTTGCTTTCCTGCAGCCAAGAGTGGAGTCCAGCCAGCGCCACCTACTCCATTCCCTTCCCTCACCCCCCGACCCCCACTGGGGCCTCCAGAAGGAAATCGGCCTATCATCTTCCAGGGAAGCCATTGCACATGCTTCTCTATGCCAGAGCCAGGATGGGGGCGTGGGCAGGAGAAGTCCCAGCTTGGGCCATCCAGGAGCCGGCGAGGGTCCAGGCAAAGATGGGCACTGAGCCATGTGGCAGGCGGCAGGGTGTGTGGTGGGCTGGGGCGAGATTAGGCAGCTGTCCCCTGTCCAGACAGCCGCCGGCTGTGGCAAGACATCTGCCCCCACAGCTGCATGAGGCCAGGTGGTGGCGGCGGCCTGCTCCCTTCAAATCCCACCTCGAGGCTGGACCCAGTACCCCACGCCCTCAAGGGAACCAAAGACCCCATGCAAGAGTGCATGGGCTTCCCGCTGCAGCCCATCTGGCCAGACACCTGGGTCCCTCGGCTGGCCACTGGGGTTCCGGGCCTGGGGTCCAGAGAAATGCCACCTTCTCTCCATGCGGGAAGCCTGGGACTCCCCTCTGTCCTCTTCCCAGGAGCTTCCCCCAACTAGCCACCAGTCCTCAGCCCATGGCCAAGGTCTCCCCAAGAGACCATCTCCAAGGGCTTCTGCCATCTTCCAGAATAAGACCCTTCCCTCCCCACATCCTCTTGGCCCTCCCAGCACTGAGCTCCATGGGCTTCCTGGGGCATCCTGAATGTGGGGTCTCCAGAGACAGCACCTGGTCACCTGACACACCTTCCTGATTCCCCAGTGCCCCCTTCCTAACCCCTCAATGCTTCCTTCCTGGCCCTCCTGCACCCCTTTCTGGCCCCCAGCACCCCTTCCTAGCCACCCAGCCAGCCAACACCTCTTCTCAACCACCTGACGCCCTTTCCTGCCAGCCCCTCCCTAACTTATCTTCCTTCTTCAGCCTACCCTGCAGCCTGGTGACCCCTTACCTTCAAACCAACCCTCCTCTGGCCCCTCCAGGGATCCCCCAGGCACCCCCATCCAAGTGGTTAGCAGACCTAGGCACAGAGCCACATAGTCCCTGGCCGAGACCTAGGCTAGGTGCACAGAGCAGCAGAACCATGAGGACAGAGTGGTGCAGTCAGCAGCCCTCGGGGAGCACTCAGGGTCTGATGCTGGCACTGATTCAGGAAGCACAGCTCCCCACATCCATGACAGCAGCCTCCCCACAGCCTTCTCTGTAAGTCCCCAGAGCACCAGAACAGCCCCCACACCAGGCTGTAGTGAACAGGGGAGGCGCTCTGCTGGCACCCTGGCTGCCCCCACCTCCCCATCGGGCTGGGGGTCCCAGCATGAGGCAAGTGTCTTTGGGTGCTGCCACCTCTGTGTGCAGCATGAGAAAGCCCCCCAGTTCACAGATCAAGAAGCAAGGTTCTCCATGATTTAATGGGAGATCCAAAATATGTAAAGAGCTCCTACAAGTCAACAGACAGCCCACTAAAACACAGGCAAAAGAATCCAAAAGACTTTCTCCTAAGAAGTTAACAGGTGGCCAACATGCATGTGAAAAGGTGGCCATCACCATTAGCCAGTGGAGAGATGTAGGTCAAACTGCAGTAAGACTCCAGCTTACACCCACCAAGAGGGCTAGACCAAGAAGCAAAACAGAAAGCAAGTTGGTGAGTGCGTGGAGAACTGAGATCCTCGTGCACTGCTGGGGGATATAGGGTAGTGCAGCTGCTGGGAAGACAGCCTGCAGTTCCCCAAAATCCTGAGTGCAAAACTGCTATCCAACCTGGTGGTTCAACATTAAGCACAGACCCAAGATAACTGGAAGCACACACACACACGCAAAAAGCCATGCCACAAGCCCACATTCACAACAGCATTCAAAATGCAGAAGGTAGAGATGACACTACTGTCCATCAACGGGTAAACAGGCTAAAAACGTGCAACTAAGTTTCAGCCCTGGGAAGGAGCGGGACACTGAATCACGTACAATGCCTGTGAGCCTCAGAGGGGACCACGGGTGGGAGAAGCCAGACACAAAGGCCACAGGAGTGTACGATTCCATTTATATGAAACGTCCAGAACGGGCAAATCCATGGAGACAGAAAGCAGATTAGTGGTTGCCAGGGGCTGGGGGAGGGGCGGGCGCGGTTGCCGGATGGGTATGAGGTTTCTGGGGTGAGGAAAACTTTCTGGAATTAGATAGTGCGCGACGGCTGCGCGGCTGGGTGAACCTACTAACCACAGAGCTGTGTGCTCTGAAAGGGAGGATTTACAGTATGTGAGCTGCGTCCCATCACAAAGAGTGCCCAGCCAGCCGCAATGCCCGCCAGGCTCCCAGCACACAGCAGGTCCTCAGACTGCTCTTCAAAGCGGCTCCAAGGGTCTCCAACCCCAGGGCTGTGGGGCTGCGGCGGAACACCTGGCATAGGCTGTCACAGCATTCCCCAAGGTGCTACTCCAGGCAGGCCTCCAGGTTACCTAGGACCAGGAAGGACAAGGTTGCAGGGTCCGGTCTCCCACCACCCTACTTCCTGAAGCAGCCTGCAGTCTGACTGTTTGCTGGGTAATATGGGGTACAGGGCCACCCCAGGAAATAGTCTCAGGCTTTTAAAGAAGAGGCTCCAGACCTCCCAGGCCTGGCCAGGCTGGGCCCAGGCCCCAGCCCCCAGGCTTGGCCCCAGACTCCGTGTCCAGGGCCTGCGTCTTCCCTTCAAATGCTGAGATGGCCCAGTGGGAGAACCAGCTTGACACTGGCTCCAGGTCCACCATCTCACCTGAGAACAACCCCCTCAAGGGCAGGATGCCAGGGCCTCCCCACTAAGGACAAGCCAGGTTCTGAGTCCACATCCCAAACCTGCTACATGACCTCAGGCCAGCCTTTCCTGTTCTCCCCTCTGGGCAGAAGGGTGCCGGGCGGGCATGGGAAGGCCCCAGGAGAACCAGATGGAAATGCCACCTGCTAACTGAACCCAGATGCAGGGCTACGCTGAGGGGAAGCCGATGGGGTAGCCTGGTCCCCACTGCAGCCGGCCTGGTGGCCAGAGGCCTCCAGGAGGGCACTGGAGCAGGCAGGGTTGGGTTGCAGCTCAGGGAGGGGGCAGGGAGGGCTCCTGCCGGCCCACGTGACCCTCCCCCAGGCCAGCCTCTCCTCTCTGGGCTCCTGGGCTGTAACTGGAGCCGCATTTCTGCCTGGGAGCCTCCGTGCCAGGCAGAGCTTTTGAGGGGGGAAGGGAGCAGAGGGCCACGATCCCAGCTCTTTCTCACTCCCCAGGAAAGGGCTTGGTAGGGACACCCCAGGACCCCTACTGCCCCGGAACCCCTACTGCCCCTGCCCGGCCTGGCCTTTAATGCCTTGGGTCACCCACCCCCTTGGCTGGACCAGGAGCAAGACCCCCAGACCCTAGCAACCAGAGGGGCCTCAGACACGGCCCACCCTAGAGCTCATGCTCCCCCCACCCAGTCACCATGGGAGTCACCTCAAGGGGGCCCAAAGTTCCAGCAGCATCCAAATAGAACCTGGCTGCCCCTACCCAGGAAGCTCTCTGGCCCTGGTCCAGGGAGGCACTCACTCTGTCCATCAAACAGCATGCTGGTTGCCCCCAAGTTGGTATCCCCCAAGGCAGTACATCTGCCCCCAGACAACCCTTTCTCCCAGGCACCTACAAGGAAAGCCAATATCATGCACAGGTTTCAGGACCCTCCCTCAATGGGTCTTTCCAGGCCAAGGAGCAGGGCCAAGGGGCCAATGGGAGGAGCCCTCACTATGTAGACCATACCGGCTGGGCCCACCCTTGCCCCGGTGCCGGAACACACACGCGTCTAACAGCAGAGCCAGTGCAGACAGGTTGGAGAAAGGCAGGACAGGATCCTGACCCCACCCGTCTTCACGAATGGGACCCAGGCAGGGAGACCCCAGCAAGCAGAGTCACTGCTGCCCAGACAAGCCCAGGGTGTGTCCCAGCCAGGAGCTGGGCCTCGGCCGGCGGAGAGAGAGGGCCGGCACAGCTGGCTGACAAGGCCACCGTGACTCACTGTGGACCCACGGCCAGACGGCCATCCCAGCCCTCCCTCCTGCCCTCGCTGGAGAGGGACAAGCGCACAGATGGCATAGGGGCATGCCAGCCTGGCCAGGGCCTCCAAGGTCCAGCCAGGAGGGGCTGGGGCAGGCTGGGAGAAGGGACATGGAGCTGACCCTGGAAGACGACCCGGGAGAAGGGAACAGACGGAGAAGAAAAGGGGAAAGAAAAACACAAAGGGAAAGTTTCCCATGAAAATATTTTATTTTCTTTGAGAACAGGATACACCTGCAGGGCTCCTCGGTCCAGCCGGCCTCTCCCCGCCCTGGCGGTGCCAGATTCCTGAACCGACGGAGCCCTCTGCCGGCCAGGCCGCCGCGCGCGCCCGGGCCAGGGCAGGAA